GAGCCCAAGGGTGATGGCTGCCTTCTGCTGTGTTGCACAAGCAGCCCCACAGATAGTGGGGAAGGTACTTAGACCCAAGGATTTTATACTATAGACTGACTAATCTCAAGATAAGCTGTAGTAAGTCTCATGCTTTACTAATATTTCTGCACAATATGATGTGGGTTGCTGGCAAGGAAGAGGCTAACTGGATAACAAGTCCACACAGGCTGGCAGGCTATTCTGCCTACACTAATAACTCCCTTTGAGGGAGTTAGAGGAAATTTAACTAATTCACCTGGGAGAGCACTGCAATAACACAGCCTGGCATAGACTTGATAAACAGATTTTACCTCCCCCATTATCAGTGACCAGGGCAGCATGTTTTCTGGAAGTGTACGACGCTCCTCATCCCCTTGTCATCTACATCCTTCCTTGTACTCCCTGCATTTCTGCCAGGAGTTGAGCTAATGTCCCTGTAGAAGACTCCACTGGGCTGCAGGGAAGCCCCATTCTTCTTAGGGCCAGCTCGGGGGTTTCTCCATGGTGTTGCACAGATATCTACCAGTGGGGAGCTAATGCATCATGGCAGGGATTGCTGATGTGTCCCCAGATTTGCTTTCAGGAACAAAGAGAAGTGCAGAAGCATTTCTGCAGTCCTGAGTTCAGAAACCCCTACTCTGTCCCCTGATACACCCAACGTAAGGTAGACCTGTTTGGCCAACACGTTTGGACTGAGCCCTGGTGGGCCCTGGTCAGATCTCCATGCATGGACACCTGGGTTGCCTAAAGCATACCACATGTCTGTGGGTGTAGCAGAGTTGCAGGCCATACTGCAAAGTGAGGTTTGAGTAAATTAAGTGGCAGCAGCAGGTCCTGGATTTGTCAGTGTGGCTCTGGTGTCTTTTCATGAGAAGACTGTAAGAAATATTTGCTGTTTCTCATCACACATAGCATGGTTTGTTACCTTGGCCCTAGATACCCAAATACAGCTGTATAGATGAGGGGGAGTGACTCTTCAAGAAGTCCAGCTGATGGATTTCAGGGCAATGCTTTTCTGACCTGCTGGAGGCTGCAGCATTAGGACGAAAGATGTGTCCTCATGAACTCATCACTCTTTTGACCAGCTTTCTGACTGTAAAGGGAACACAAGGATGTGGTCAGAGATACAGCTGCTTGGTGTCTACTCCCATTGAGTCCAAGGAATCCTGCACTAAACCTGAGCTTTCATTTACTGGTAATTTATGTACATGGGTGATGGTCATTTCAGCCTCCTTGAGGACCCCTACACCCTGCCAAGGCTGTCTGAAGAGCCTGCATACTAAGGAGGCACTCAGTCATGGGAACATTTTCCTGCCACCTCAGGCAAGCTATTTGGGGAAGACTCACCTGTGTTTGTACCTATCCAGTTCCTCTCCTGCTTCCTCACTCTCTCACTTCTTACTTTTTGGCTGCAGAATGAACCGTGCCCCCACCGCTGGCTATGAATCAGATGTTGGGAGCAAGACCACTCACCACTTCGTTTACCCTGAGAGCTACAAAGAGCTGGCAGAAAATGTGAGCATGGTCCTGATCCCCTTCAAAACCCTGGACCTGCGCTGGGTGGTCACCGCTCTCACCACAGGCACCATCAACTTGTGAGTAAGGGCAGGCTGAAGGGGGGGAGCTCCTGTACCTCACGTTGCTGTAGGAGATTAAAGCCTACACTGGGCAAATCTCTGCTTCTGATAAAGCCCAGGGGACTTGTACAGACCCTCTCAGGTCAGAGTTCAACCCTGAACACTTGCTTTCTGGGAAAAGCCTGATCTGATGGTGGAGTGCTTGAGGTGAAGATCCAGTTCTTCACAGCCCTACACAGTGGTCTTAGAGAAATGAAAAAAGGAGGTTTTGCTGCTGGAAGTGGCCAGTTTGAGCAGTGGCTTCCTGGGCTTGGGGGTTCAGTGCCTTGTTTTGGGCTTCTGCTCATCCTTCCTCCTCTCCAGTCCCTTGGGAGTACAATGAGTGCAGCCAGCATGCCCGTACCCAGACATACCCATCAGAAAGCCACCTGCAGAATCAACTCTTTGCTGGGTTATTGATTTAGTAGTGATCCTAGGCACCTGGATTCTCCCATCTGAGATATTTTGGTGGCCAAGTGATCCTCCAGCATGTATTATCCCACTTGCAGAAGAGGACAAGGAAGGCAGAGAGGAATGTGCAGGTTGCTCATGCAGTGAGAGCAGAAGCAGAGTGCAGCACTCGGTCCCCCTTCCACAGCATCCTCCCCTGGACAGGTTGGCCAGGAGTTAGGTCTGTCTCTCCTGGTGGAATGTGATTGAGAGCTGTGAAGAGGAGACACTGTTGGTGTGTGTTTGGGGTGTGGCCTGCATGCCTTGGCCTTACATTTGTCTGTTCTGCCTGGCAATAATGTGCCACACCAGCATTTATTTTCCATCGTCTTTATCAGTGCTTTCAGAAGGAAATGTTGTCCTGCTTAATACATTTACATCAGCACTAGAATTAGAAACATGAACAAAACTTATGTTTCTTCTGGATGCCTGCTAGGAGATTCTCTCCTTTCCTGTAATCTGGCTTTTCCTAATCCAGAGAATTAAATACTTGAAATTTGTACTGTGTGTGAGTTTATTTGCTGGATGTATACCCACAGTCTTGTGGATTGCTCCATAGCACCTTGCTGCACATAGACAGCAAGAGCAGACCAGATTACTTTATTCCAGAGAGAAGTGTTTCAACTCTTTC